TATTTCTTCCAGAACTACATATTTTTTTAGTAACAAAAAAAAAAGAATGCTTTACTGCTAAATATTTCCTTGCTAACAACGAATGGGTTAAAATTGTAACATAGTTGAAAATACTCCTAATTTATCCAACTATAATTTAAAAAAATATCTTATATATAAGAGTTCGTTGTAAAAAATTTGTATCTTATACACCTGAAAGGTTATTTTAGAATCAAAATCTAATAAGGCACATTATTCACTATAATGACAAAAAAACAAAAATCAAATTATTTTAAAACTAGGTTCTTAGCCTGACCTTGTTGATGACCGATGTTTTTTTACCCAATTATATAAAATAACCTTGGCTACAAGTTCATTTTTTACCTAATAAAATAAATTAACCTAGGCCATTAGCTAGTATACCAAGTTATAGAAATATATTTTTAATAAAAAAATTTTCTTAAACGATTACTTTACTTAAAAACGTATTATGTTAAGAGGCTTGGCTTTAACCATCCAATTTTAATACGAACTAAATATGAGTACATTGAAATTAAAATTTAGCCGGTCAGAAGTTTTTTAAAATATGTAAAAAAAATTATAATATACTAAATAAATAAAACTATAAGATGATTTTTTTTGATAATAACATTATGATGAAATGAATAAATAACCTCGGTAAAAGGTACAACGTATATGCTGTACCATTAACCATTTCACCACACACACACACATGTATATATATATATATATATATATATATATATATATATATATATATATATATATATATATATATATATATATATATACCTATATATATATATATATATATATATATATATATATATATATATATATATATATATATATATATATATATATATATATATATATATATATATATATATATATATATATATATATATATATATATATATATATATATATATATATATATATATATATATATATATATATATATAACCTATATATATATATATATATATATATATATATATATATATATATATATATATATATATATATATAACTATATATATATAACTATATATATATATATATATAACTATATATATATATATATATATATATATATATATATAACCTATATATATATATATATATATATATATATATATATATATATATATATATATATATATATATATATATATATACATATATATATATATATACATATATATATATATATATATATATATATACATATATACATATATATAAATATTATATATATATATATATATATATATATATATATATATATATACATATATACATATATATACATATATTATATATATATATATATATATATATATATATATATATATATATATATACATATATACATATATATAAATATATATATATAAATATAAATATATATATATGTATATATATATATATATATATATATATATATATATATATATATATATACATATATACATATTTATACATATATTATATATATATATATATATATATATATATATATATATATATATATATATATATATATATATATATATATATATATATATACATATATATATATATATATATATATATATATATATATATATATATATATATATATATATATATATATATATATACATATATATATATATGAGACGGACGGACGCTAATTGAATGTCCAAAGAACGTCTTTTTTACGTCCCGTGCCCACTGGGTAATAATTAAAAATGGATACTTAATTAGATATTCAAGCAACTCTTACATTCAGCATAAAAGTTTTTTTTAAGCAACAGAGTTTTCAATATCTATTAGAGGGCCAAAAGTATAGAATAAATTTATATCTAATTAACTTAAAACTCATTAAAATCTTAAAGAATTCAAAGTAAAGTTGAAACAAATGCTTCCGGTTAGTGACGGAGTGCATCACTTCTTCTAAAAGTATCTAATATTATAGATAAGTTTTTTTAATTAATTTTAAAGATTATCTTTCCAACCTATTGTCACTTTGGGCGAATCATATTCTATATAATTAAATATATATATATATATATATATATATATATATATATATATATATATATATATATATATATATATATATATATATATATATATATATATATATATATATATACAAACATTGTGTGTATATAATATGTATACATATATAAAAATATATACATATTATATACAAAGAAAATGTTACAATATTATAAAATTAGGAACAATGTATTTTATTGAAATATCTTTAAATAAGAATGGAAATCTAAAATACGAATCAAGTTCTTAAAATAAGAATCAAATTCTTAAAACAAGAATCAAGTTCTTAAAATAAGAATCAAGTTCTTAAAATAAGAATCAAGTTCTTAAAATAAGAATCAAATTCTTAAAATAAGAATCAGGTTCTTAAAATAAGAATCAGCTTCTTAAAATAAGAACAAAAGTTCTTAACCTAGAATCTTGGATTTTGCTGTGTAGGTATATTATTAGGTTTCCATATTTTCCTTTTTTTATTTTATATTAATCTTTTAGGAGTTGACAGCATTGTGTCCGATTTAAAGTGCGAACCTGTGTACGAGTAACAACAGTATTCAAAACCAAAACCTATTTAAACTAACCAAACCAAAACTAGCGACCAAAAACTAATATCTTGGCATTGGTTTATATTAAACATCTATTATATATATATATGTGTGTGTTTTATATAAATGTACTAGCTTGAGTATAGTGTAATAAAAATATTTTTTTTAACTGTTTTTATTGTAATTTAAAGTATATTGGATTAAATATTATAAATATTTGATTAGTTTTCAATTTTTGGTTAAAACGTTTTAATGTAGAATATCAAAATAAAATAATGCAATTAAATAAAAATGCAAACATTAACAAATATAAAGATTATTTGGTTATGAAGTCACAATTCTGGCCTTCTAATTTTAAATTTTAGTGATTTTAACGAAATAATCACTAAAATAACTTATTAACACATTTATTTCATAGGAATAACAACCGCTGAAAATTTGCTGCCTAGTGTAATAACTCCTTAATTTTAACTGATTATTCGTTGCACTAACGAAATAAATTCATAAATTTAACGGACTATTTCTAACGGAGTTCAATTCGTTAAAATTTTAATTCGTTAACTTAACGGATTTCCCGTTAGTGCAATAGCGACAGATACAATTCGTTGCATATAACGGATTTTTTCTCAGAGTGTATGGATAACAAAGAAGAGGAAGAGATAGCCGATCAAGGTAATAATTTTATATTTATTCTCATTAACATATATTTTATTATTATTTTGTAAGTATTTGAACAATTGTTTGTACAAATATTTATTTTTTTCTCTCCCTAGATCAAGAAGAATTAGCAAATGAAGAATTTGAAATGGAATTTATAAAAGTTGCCGTTGATTTATCTTGTGCATGGCATGAAAACGATTGGATTGTTGTTTTTTATATGGGCAATTGGTATCCTGGTATTATAAATGAGGTACTTGATTTTTATTCAATGTTTAAAAAAAATTTTTTTCATTCAAAGAAAAACATTTTTTTTTTTTAATTATTTGATCATATCGATTTTTTAAACTATTTTTCAAATTAGAAAAATCATTACTTATATAAGGTTCTCAGTCATGGTTACATGGTGAGCTGTATGAAGTATGCTTATGCAGACAAGAACCTTTTTAAGTGGCCAGCTTTTCCTGATGTTATAAAGCTTTTCCTGATGTTATAAAGTACAATGACGGTGAAATCATTTGTGGAATTCTACCACCATTACCGTTAAAACAGCACGGAGATTATAAGCTTATAGATGAACAATTTAAAAAAGCACAAAAGGAATTTTAAGCAACGATGCATTAAAATCAAAGACATAAGAATAAAGATAAGTAAAACAATCACATAACAAGATAAAGTTATAATATAATATATTGATTAACTCCGCTGCAACATTCGGTTTTTTTTTAAATATATAAAAAATTTACCTTTTTGAAGTGCGGTTATTTCAACAATGCAATATTACCCCTAAAGTATTTTTTTTGAATCATAATTAACTCTAACACATTAAAAAAACCAAATTTACGAATACGAGTAGTTGTTTATCACAAACCCTGAATTCCCCCTTTGAATGCTAGAGCCACCCCTTCTGGCTCTAGCATTCCCTCTTCGCCAGGTAAAAGTCAGCAAGTCTCGCCCGCCATTTTCGATCTAAAAAATGAAATGCCTTTCTTGTTTTCGACCCTAGGTGAGTTCGGCGCCATGCCATAAAGTCATTTTACGTCAATTCTAATAATAAAAAAAATAAATAGCATGTAATTTGTCGTGGTTTCGGTCCAAGTTCAATTGACTAAAGAATTTTTACTAACATTCATGTTTACAACAAATTTATAACTACAGTTATTAGTTAAAGCTAAAAAATTTATTGATTATAAAATGTAAATATATTATCTTTCTCCTATGGGAGTAATGCCGGTGGCACTACTACTTTTGGCAGTGCAGCAGAAGACGTTGTTTCCGGAAGCGCTGATTTCTCTAAATAATATAATAGATCAAAATTGATTAATAGCAATTTTTATAATAAATTTTGTAACGATTTAATGTTAAAATAAAAGTTCAAGTAAAACAAAATTTTATTTACTTTCTCGAGGTTTATCTGTTTCTTTATTTAACATAAAATTGAAATTAAAAGTGTTATTTAAAATAATTATAATTATCTTCTATAAAACAGTAAACTTTATCATATTGCCTTATTTATAATTAGTTTAAACTTCATTAAATAATTTTATATATATATAAAAAAAATAAATATCTCTTTACAACATTTATTAATGGTGTAAAAATTTAGTTTAATGGAAGGGTAACTACCAGACTGTCCCTCTTTCCAATAATATTTTAGCCCCTACGCTACCTCCGTCACTCTTTATTATATTTAAACGAGCTGAGAGAGACACTGTTTAAACTTTATCAAGCACCCTCCATAAAAAATAATACTTAACAGCGAAGCTTGCTTTTCTAAACAAAAAAAAAAGAAAAACATATATTAAAATTAAAAATGAACGTTTTACTTATAGTAAGAATTTGCTAATACATAAAATGTTACCTAAAACAAAGATCTTTTTGTCTAGAAAATATATAGCAGAATTGAAATTTTTGTACGTAATTAGGAATATTTAAATAAGGCATTACATTTATTGAACAAGTTATAATTTAGATAATTTCGAAGACAAAAAAAATGAATAAATACCTAATTTCTTTTTTGCTGCCACTATTGAGAGAAATAAAGTATATTTATTATGAATTTTTAGTTAATGGATCAATAAATTTTTTGTTTTTGATAAATTGCATAAATTATCATAAAACAAAATTATCAATCATAAAAGACAATAAAGAATAACTCTACTTAATTTGATTCTTTCTTCCAGTTGGGGTAAAAAAAGTAAATAAAATTTATAAACAATGACTGTAAAACATTTTTGGAAAACAAGATCATTGAGTTTTAAAATATTTGTTTTATACCAAGTTTCATTTTTTTATTTTCTAAAGAAAAATGAAAATGGATCAGGAAAAAAAAATTAAAAAAATTATAAATGTCATAAAGAAACTTTTCAAAGAAAGTTATTTTTTTTATTACCGACTTTTTTCTTTATCAAATCCAAATCTAAAAAAAAAGCATCATATAAAAATGGAAAATCCCAATCTTTTCACTTAAAAACACTTTTTTTTGGAAAATATAAAATTTATATTAAAATAATGTCAAATAAAATATTCTAAAACAAGCATTCATTTCAATTACCTAATTCTTTTTTAAATACATCCAAATCTAAAAACAACAATTATTGAAAAAAATTATTCTTTTATCAAATAAAAAAAAACACCTTATTTTTTAGACCCCTTGTTTGGTAAGAATTGCTACTTATGTGTGTTAAATTAATGATTGAAGTAATAATGTTAAATCTTCAATTTCATTTAAACAACAATATTTTTAACAACACTTGCATACCTTTTATTTTTGAATCTTTAGGGTAGATTACGGTAATATAGGCACCTTGGTAATATGAGCATACTTAAAGATTTTTTAGATGTAAGCAGTGAAGTTAAAGTTGCTTTGTGTTTTTCAAATCGAATTTATGTGGTGATAACAGGAATCAGTACAATTAGCGTAAATTTATATGCAGTAATTAGCGGACATCATCTAATTAAAACGCTTTTAAATTTTTTGCTTTGTTAAAATAATATCATCTCACGTGAATAATTCTGTGACTCAAAATTATGGTACTAAAATAATGAAATTGATTTTTTCATAAAGAAAAATATATTAGCTAAAAATCCAATTCATTTTGGTTTGAAAAATAATGCATAGAAACATTTATTTTTGACTTTATTTAAAGATGCCATTTTTGTGTAATATGGGCATGCTCAAATTACCCAGTGTGTTTCATTGAAATTACTTAGTTATCATTTCATTGAAGTTACTTAGTCCTAAAATAGCAGTGGTTTTTAATTGCTTCTTAAATAAAAACAAAACATAGTAAAAAATTTTAATATTTTAACAATACTTAATTTTTTTCTGAACTTAAATTTAAAAAATTTGAACTTTTATCGTTCAAAGGCTTGAGTTAATAAAATTGAAAAAAAAACAAATTAATTTTTTTTTTCTTGCTGCGGAAAACATATAAATTTTGTTTCAACAAAATGTAGCTTAAAATTTGATCTTTTAATGATAAGTTTTGTTAATCACGAATCCTTATATTCCAAAAGTTAGTTCTTTTAATCCGGTTGGTCTTTTTTTTCTTAATTAATGCTATTTTTTTGAGCTAATTTAAAGTGCTCATATTACCAAGGGGTCTGGGTATTACGAGCATTTTTGCTACTTTTTTAAAACCTCTGTGTTTTTAAGAAAAAATGTCGGGTGCCCAAACATCTAAATGGATCATGAGTAGGGATCCTTAAAAATTGTTTATTCGCAAAAATTTTAGACACAGCATATTTATTTTTGAAAATATTTTAATTTTCGCTTCAGGTGCTCATATCACCCTAATCTACCCTATACTCTAAACAAAATTTTAAAATTCAGGCAAAAGATAAACATGAAATAAAACTCACATTTTAAATATTTATAATGAAATATATTAAATTTAAAGAAATAATAAAAAAAAAAGATTAAAATTTTTACCAACATCAACCTTACTTTTAACAAAATCTTGGATAAATGATGAAAATTAACTGCATCTTTAATGTTATTATGAACACTTTAATAGAAATTTTATTTATTACTAGTTAAAACAACAAAGATAAAATATACCACAAGAATAATCTTTTTCGTAGTCACACATTCAGCTAAACAATATAAATTAATGTTGTTTTAATTTAAATACTACAAGTTACAACAATAAAAAAAAAGATGAGAATGTATTGAAAGATTATACTTATTTAGAACTTTATTTTATAGAAATCAAAATAATCATTAAACGAAAAACTTATGAATATATAA